GCTTTTCAATGCTGGGTTGTCTAAGGGATTTTGGGCTGAAGCAATCAACACAACTTGCTATCTGGTGAACAGGTCACCATCGACTGCTATTGAGTGCAAAACACCTTGATAAGTGTTTAAATGTTGCACATTTCAGCACCTAAGCTAAGGTATTTCAGTCTTTGCATCTATCTTAATTTTATATTTTAGTCCTAATTTATGTTTATGTGTATTTCAGGGCAATAAAGTTAAAATGAGCTAAGAACGGTCCAATTAAGCCTTTTTGGAGTTAAGCAAAGATTTTCAGACAATGGCACAAAGCGGTCAATTTCGGGCCTTTGATGATGTTCCCAAAGATGGAGAAGCAAACCAAATAGCCCGGGGCAAAAATGGAGCTGAATAAGGCTTAAAGGAATTTGTCAACTCTGGGGGGATCGATCCCCAGGGTGGGGGATCGATCCCCCAGGACTTAGCAACATTACAGTTTTTATTTAATTTTTGGGCTCATTTTGGGAACTGTTGGGCTTTAATGAGATTGTTACTTAAGGCCCAGTGAGCCATTAGATTAGGGTTAGTTTTAGTTTTTATTTAGGTAAAGATTATTAGAGAAAAAAAAAAAAAAGAAGTTTTATTTTATTATTTTTGTTTCTGTATCGTAGTATCGTATTTTCTCTCTGGAAAAACACGCGAAGAAAGGGAAAAAGGAAGAACAGGCTAGGGTTTGGAAGAAAAGTTCAGAGAAGATGAAGCAGATGATGGGGATTGTCCTGTCTTCGACTCCATCAACCATGAATGGCTGATTCTTCTACTTAGGGTTGGATAAACCCTAAGCATGTAACCTATTCTCTCTCTCTTTTCATACTTTTTGGGGATTAATTTATGTAATTAGTGTATAGTCTTGAATATTATGAATTAAATTCTTCCAATTGATTATCTGTATTAATCTCATATTGTCTTAGGTGTGGTTGATTGATAAACAAATTTTACACATGAATTCTTTGTTAATTGATTCTTGTGATGGCTATACATGGTATTGCTTAGTTGTAATTGTGTTTCAAATTGATGAAAAATGCTTCCATTTGATGGATGGTACTACATGTTTAGGTTAATTTGTTGTCTAATTAGTTTTAAATTCATGTTTAATTAGTTTAATTTAAGTTTAATTAATTTAATTGCAATTCAATTATTAGGTAAGTAGACCATCCATACTTATGTTTGAATTCCATACTTTTTGTCATAATTGCATTATCTTCTAGATTAATGTGTGTTAAATTTGAAACTTGGATTGATAAATCATGCTTTGAATGGGTGAATTGCACTACACTTAGTTTAATTGTCATTAGGTAGTTGATTCATGCTTGAAATTGATGGTTTACACTTTTCATTGCACTTGTTAGCCACATATAGATTACATAGTATTATTTCCCCAATTAGTTGAAAGTGAGTGAGTTAGGGAATGTGCTTAGTGGTGAATCCTACACCCTAAGTCTCTTTCTAATCTCTTAAACTCTATTTCTTTATTGCAATCATTTAGTTTAAAATTAGTTTTAATCATAAACAAAACCCTTTTGGCAATCACAGAAGCACTAAAGTATAATTCAATTCTGGAAAACCTATAATTGTTTAGATCTCTTGGGACGATCCCTGCTCACTTCATACTCCATAGTATAAGTGTTTAGTGGTTTTATAAATTTTAAAATATGGTGCCCACTTGACATTATTTCTAAACCTAAAGTGTTGTGCATTATTTTGTGCACACGCTCGGTCGCACCACACCTGAAGAGGTATGGTCTGGTACTCCTACTGATTATTCTAATTTAAGAATTTTTGGATATCCTGCTTATGCTATTGTTAATGAGTGAAAACTTGAGCCTAGAGCCAAGAAATATATTTTTATTAGCTATGCATCCGGGGTGAAAGGATACAGGTTGTGGTGTCTTAATCCCAAGTCACCTAAGTTTATTAGCAGCAGAGATGTTACTTTTGATAAGTTTGCTTTATTTCACCCGAGAAAGGAGTTTTTTTATTACAGGTGAATCTCAGGGTGTTAAGCAGTAGGTGGAGCATGACTTTGAAGTTGCAGAGAAATAAGTCAACACTTCTGTTCAGCTCGATGTTGAAGTGGTGCAGGATGATCAAGTACCAGATGAGCAACAGTACAGTATTGCTACAGGGAGACAGAAAAGACAAATTAAACCTCCTGAGAGGTATGCTTATGCAGATTTAGTTGCTTATGCTTTGTCTGTGGCAGAAAATATTGAAGATAAGGAGCCTTTCACCTACCAAGAAGCTGTTACAGGAAATGAATTTGTGAAGTGGACTGTTGCTATGACTGAGGAGATTGAATCTCTTTATAAGAATCAGACATGGGAGTTGGTGAAACCTCTTAAAGGTTAGAAGATTGTTGGTTGCAAATGGGTCTTCGAGAAAAAGGAAGGAACTCCAGGTGTTGAAGATGCAAGGTACAAATCACGTTTATTGGCAAAAGGTTATAGTCAGAGAGAAGGTGTGGATTTCAATGAAGTTTTCTCACCAATTGTGAAACACACCTCTATCCGCATGTTGTTTACCATGGTTGCTCAATTTGACTTAGAGCTTGAGCAACTTGATGTTAAAACAGCTTTTCTAAATGGTGAGCTTGAAGAAGAAATTTATATGCATCAGCCAGAGGGGTTCATTGTTCAGGGAAAGGAAGACCACGTTTGTTTGTTAAAGAAATCCTTGTATGGATTGAAGCAATCTCCAAGACAGTGGTACAAGAGGTTCGATACTTTTATGGTTAAACATGGCTATTTGAGAAGTAGTTATGACAGTTGTGGCTACTACCAGAAGCTCTTAGATGGTTCTTTTGTATACTTGTTGTTATATGTTGATGACATGCTTATTGCTGCAAAAGGCATGTCAGAAATCAACAAGTTAAAATCTCAATTGGATACTGAATTCGAGATGAAAGATCTCGGTGCTGCGAAGAAGATTTTGGGCATGGAAATTCAGACGGATCGTCAAGCTGGCAGGTTGAGTTTGTCACAGAAGAGTTATATTGAGAAAGTGCTTGAGCGGTTTAACATGCAGAATTCTAAGTCTGTGAGTACACCACTTACTGCTCATTTTCGTCTTTCTATAGCTTTATCACCACAGTCCAAAGAGGAGAAGGAGCATATGTCGTATGTTCCTTATGCTAGTGCAGTTGGTAGCTTAATGTATGCAATGGTTTGCACTCGCCCTGATAATTCACATGCAGTCAGTGTAGTTAGCAGATATATGGATAATCCAGGAAAAGAGCATTAGCTAACCGTGAAGTGGATTCTTCGGTATTTGAAAGGTACTATAGTTATTGGCTTAGTTTATCAAAAGAGCAGTGATGATTTTGACAGTGTTGTTGGTTTTGTGGACTCCGACTACGCTAGTGATTTAAACAGAAGAAGATCTTTGACAGGATACGTCTTTACTCTCTCAGGTTGTGCAGTTAGTTAGAAAGCAACTTTGTAATCTACAGTTGCTCTCTCTACTACAGAAACAGAATATATGGTGGCCACTAAAGCAGTGAAGGAATCCATTTGGTTGAAAGGTTTGGTTAGTGTTTTGGGTTTGCAACAAAGCTTAACTATTATTTATTGTGATAGTCAGAGTGCGATATATTTGACCAAAAATCAAATGTATCATGAGAGAACCAAACACATTGATGTCAGATATCATTTTATTCGGGATGTCATATCAGAAGGAATTACTACTTTGAAGAAAATTGGCACAGCTGAAAATCCAGCGGATATGATGACAAAGTCCATTCCGGCTCTCAAGTTCAAGCATTGCTTGGACTTGGTTGGTATTCTCAAATGTTGAAATTGCCCTTAGGGGCTACGTGGAGAAGGCAGTTTGTTTGACAGAGATGCAGTGGCTCATTTGAATTTTCGCTAAGGTGGAGATTTGTTGATTTTATGGCTCAATTTTTGCCACCTCATCATGCATTACCTCACCTATTATATCATCAACATACATCACTCATGTCATTAGCAATGCTTGGCAGCTAAGTCGATTGATGAGGAAGCTGTGCGTGGTCTCCAAGCAGTCCGGCTATGTGCTTGCTGATCAAGACTTTTTCGTGGTCTCCAAGTTCACAAACAGTGTGAACTTTTGGTTATAAATAGCCTGGCTTCTCCATGGTTCAAGCATCCCAAAAATTGAGTGTTCATTTGCTCTATAAAAGCAAAGCAGAGTGTGAGAGAGTTCAGGGTGTAATTGGGTTTTGGGTGTGAGCCACTTTAGCATTGTATCTCTTTATTTCCATAGTGAAATATTGTTCTGTCTTCTCCCCATGGATGTAGGCACAGCCGAACCACGTAAATCCTTGTCTAGTTGTGTGTACGCGATTTTATTTTTTTCCTATCGTTATTTTTCTCTTGTTCTCATAAACCCCTATTTGATCTTTATTTTCGTAACAGACAAAATTAGATTACTGACTCCAGTGAACTCAACAAATTGGGTAGATTTGTTATTATTTCCAGTGACCTGCATTGGTTTGACTCCAACCTTTGTAAACTCATTGGTAGCTCTGGAAGCAATTGGAGTTTTGTGCATTCCTCTAAATTAAGAATCTGGAGCATGGTGAGACACTTGATGCTCTCTGGAAGGCTACAGATTGGATTTCCCCTTAGATTCAAGTGCTGCAATGGGGATATCCTACCAAGATCCCTTGGAATGGCACCATCTAACAGATTGTTGTTTGCAAGACTCAACCTCACTGATGAGGGTGGAAAGCAATCCAATGAAGAACTGATCGATTCCGGAGATTTTATTAGTCTAAAACCCCAAGAGATTATGTCACTGCTGGTAGAGGGTACTTGATTTATTCCAGTACCATCTGCACTAAAATCCTTTAACGATTCTATCTTGCCCATCTCTTTGGGCAACTCGACAAGCTTTGAGCAACCAACGAGAATGAAATTCTCAAACAATTTTAGCTGACCAATTTTTGTGGGAAGATTCCTAAGATTCTTGCAGTCTTTTAGATTTAACAGAACAAGTTATTTTAATTCCCCAATGGATTCATGAGCCTTTATCAAAGTTATGCAATCTTCAAGAATCAAGCTCTCAAGATTAGGAACATTTGAGAAGTCAGGCGTCTCTATAAGATCATGGGAATGGCTAAAATTAAGGATTTTCAATGATTTGAGCGACTGTCATAAAAAGGAAGAAATTAGCTAATTTATATGAATATTTATATGAATTGCCAAAGAAAGACAAAAGAAAAAAAAAATTACTAAAAGAGAACTTAATATAATACCTTTTTTCCCTTCCAAACTTGTTTTAAGCTACTACATTTCATCTCAAGAACAACTAAGCTCTCCAAATAAAACTCACTTGGTATAATTTTCAAAGGGAACCAACACCAACACAACCATCTCAACTCCTTAGGAAATTGTTCGTAATTTCCAGTGAGCCTTACATTATTGAGCTGGAGCAGTCTAAGATTGTGCATGCTTGAAAATGCATCAGTGTGTAAGTCTACTTCATTTGATGTGGAAGATGACTCTGTCGAGGCAGAAGTTCCCGGGATCCAAGAGAAAATGCTTAGTCGACGCCGCTCCGATGTAGAGAAGCCTTGGCCACTCTGCTCTGACGAAATGCTTCGATGCAAGTTGAGGGTGAGACCTTCAATGACCTCTGTTCCCTGGTAAAGAGGACTCACAAAGTAAGCACACCATGCAACAAAAACATGCAAAATAGACTTGCAAAGCATAGTTCTTACAATTTTTTTTTCTCAATACATTCAAGGCATCTTTATGATGCCACAGCCTGCTGCCTTTCCATGGATCCGTTGGTGATTCTGGCAGGCGTACTATTTTTCTTCCCATTTCTTGTAGAAGACGATGCATTCTCAGCTTTTTGGACCAAGCATCGTCGACAGTTAATAGACATCTTTTAATGAGGTTGTCGATTCCAACTATTGGGTGGAGTTCACAAGCATCCAGAACTTTAATTACTAAATCTTTATCCTTTCCGACAAAAAAACAAGCAATGTTGAGGAATATTTTTCGGTCGCAGTCGTCTTCTAACAAATCAAAACTAATTTTGAGCTTTTCTATGATTTGACTATTAGGAACTGCTTCCAATTTATTTATTACATCTTCCCAAATATCTGCATCTCTTTTAGAAAGAGAAGAACCCAAAACCTCAAGATCTAAAGGAAGCCCCTCACAATACTTCACAACCCTTTTAGAGTGCTCCTTATAAGCTTCACTGGGATGATATTGTCCAAACACATGCCAACTGAAGAGCTACAGTGATTCATCATCATTTAATTTCATAACTCTGTGAATCTTATACAATTCACATGCATCCAATAATTGCTCATTTCTACTTGTTATGATAATTTTGCTTCCCTGCTTAATCCAATATCGCATTGTGAGCACTACTTCTGATTGATCCACATCATCGAGAACAAGTAAAACTCTTTTTGAGGTAAGCGCTTCTTCGATCATTTTGTTTCCTTCATGAACATTGCTAATTTTTACTTCTCTTCCCTTCAAAATATTTGAAAGAAGTTGTCTATGTAAATAGACCAAACCATTTTGCTGTTTTGATGTTTCTCTTATATCTGCAAGAAAACTGCTCCCTTCAAAATTGTCGAAGTTTTTGTTATACACAGTTTTGGCAATGGTTGTCTTGCCAATGCCACCAATTCCATAAATTGCCATTATGCTAACTTTACTTGATCCATCTTGTAACCACAAATTAATGCTTTTTATACGAGAGTCCAATCCAACTGGATACCGGCAAACACTTAAAACTGTGCGACAACCCAATTTGTTTCCAATATCTTTAATGATTTTTTGTTGAATAAAATCTGACTCATTCCTGCAAATTGCGATGGAAATAGAAAAAGGAAACATGTCATAATTAAGTTGAAACAAATCAAAAAATTTAATGAGAATGCAAACATAATAATAATTTCATGCTTTCAGTGTGGTCACTACCACACAAATATATATATTTTCATGGAAAATGTTGAATATTTATGACAATTTTGAATTAATATAATTACACAATCAATAATTTGTTAAAAATGCACTAAACAAAGAAAATTGTTGCAAATTGCAATATTGTTCGCAAAAATTTCAAATCCAACTTGAGAAAGCAATTTCATAATAAGGGTTTCTTATGGATCACAATCCTGGCCATGCTTCATTCTTAAAGCTTCATCTATTTTCGGACTCTTTTTTTTTTTTAAGTGCTTTTATTCATTTAAAACAACCAAGTTGAAGTTATTGATGCCATTTTTCCTAAACAGTATTTTTTTTTTTTTGTCTTTGCTCAAGTCACAGCATATATTTTTTTGCATTGGTCTCTTAAAAATTATTAGGGATTGGCCCTTTCTTCACCTAAACCAAGCTTAATGTTTTGAGGTTAATGACTATTCAATAAACCGCTTAAAAAAAAATTAAATAAATAAATAAATAAAATAATAATAATAATAATAATATTTGCCCAAATCAGGCGCAAGAAGTTGTGGAAGGAAAATTAGGCTATTGGGCTTAACTTTACCAGGCTCAAGCTTGCAATAAAGTTCAATTTATGACTACTTTTACAGAGCCAATTTATCATATGATGGTATGTAAATGGTGTTATTGTATATACAATGGAGTGCTCTATTCTTCATATTCCCATAAATAGGTTAGTATAAGTATTTTTTTTTCAAAGTTTAATATAAGTAATTAGGATAACACAAAAATTATAGTTGTAGAGGATTGAGAGGAGATAGTCTTGGAAAAAAGAAACCTACAAACTTTCACGTGGTTAAAATATAATTTGTAACAAAATTATAAACTCTAAAATTGTTAAATATATTTTCTAAACGTTAGTAAAGTTTTGGGACAATTGAAACTTGCATCCAGTTTTAAATATTATAACGTATAAATAAATTGGAGGGACAGTAATATAAGTATCTAAAGACATGCAGCTAATGAATTGAGTACTTGAACCAAATGATGTCAAAGAAAGGAGGCAGGAGCTTACTCATCTTTTCCTAACACATGCGCTGACAAACCTGCAACTTCTTCCAAAGCTTTCCTCCAGCTTCTTATCTTGACCATTCCCTCCTCTTTTTCTTCATCGGACTTCGACTTCAATCTCTCTTCGTGTTTTGCAAATGCATCTCCAAAACTTCCCTTTAGCCACCTTAGATCAGATGGATCCACATGGTAGAACACAGGTACAATCAGATGACCTACACTCCTGCGTTCAAGTATCCTTAGAAGTTCATTAAGGCACCATGTTGAAGATGCATAGTCTTTTGAAAAGACAATTATTGAAATCCTTGATTCATCGATTGTCTTTATCAGTTTTGAGGCAATATGATCTCCTCTCTCAAGTTCATCGTCATCCCTAAATGTGCGTATTCCTACATTTAGTAGAGCTGTATGTAGGTAATCGGAAAAGGTTGTCCGAGTGTCTTTACCTCGGAAACTTAAGAAAACATGATAATAACTCCGAGTTGAGGAGGCTTCTTGAGATCCCATAAAAGCCATTGAACAAAGAACAAGGAGATCAATACACAATCTATGTAACCACAATACAACCAAAATTTGTATATATAAGATGTTAATAAATAAATAAATAAACAATATTATATACTGAAAATCTGAAATAAGCAAATTTATTAAATCCTATATATTTCCTATATAAGCAAAAAGCTACCCAAAAAAAAAAAAAGCAGTTTAATAAATTATACCTAAGGCAAGGGTTAAATGGAAAACACCTAACAAATATTGTAGCTAAACTCAATAATCCAACAAAATTTTATCTCAATCATTTGAGGTCAACATCTGCTACATCCAAAACAAGAAACATAATTATATAAGTTCAACTTATTTATGATTTTGAACAATCAATCCTATGTATAATAAATAAATAAATAAATAATAGAAAGAAATCTTATTGGTGTTTCTGGTACTTAGATCTTTCAAATCATATAAACCAAAATAAAAAGCTAAAAGACTAATTAACTAACATATAGATATTAAAGATTGATGTAGTTAACAAAGTTGTGACTCTGAGCAATGAATCTTTCAAAGATACAAGAATGTTACCTATATTAGATGATTGATCAATTCACAGAAAGATTTGAGTTTGTTTTGCTGATTGAAGAAGAGAGAGATGAGAGAGAGAGATAATTAAAGAGGATAGAAAAAGAAAGGGAGGAAAAGGAAAGAAACATATACAGGCAATAGTATTTTACTTCATGGTCAAAATTGAGTAAACAAAGTGACCAACATATATATATATATATATATCTATTTACCCTATAAAAGTGTATTCTATTTTTAATTTTTATATACACTTTTTTCAATATTTTATAAGTATCGATTTTCACACTTTTTATTTTTAATTTTTAAAGCGTTCGTTTCTATTTTCACACTTTCTATTTTAATTTTTAAAGTGTTGTCTCTATTTTATTTTAAATTTTTATATACACTTTTTTCAATATTTTATAAACGTCGTATACATAGTTTTTGGTTACACACTTTTTCTCATTACATACTACAAGTAAAGTAGACATCGAGTCTATCTCTATTTTCCAAGACTTCTTAATTAACAAAAATTCTTCTTGGACTTTATATTACTTGAATACTGATATTTATTCGTGTAACTCATGTAAGATTTATTCAAAGAGTTAGACTCTTACTCAAAATACTCTTTCAATATTTAATTGACCTCTTCTTTTTATAACTTGTCTCTCCACTCCGGTTGTATTATTTGTTTCCACTTTCCTTGACTCAAAACTAATAAATCTTTAAAAGTTATCTTCTAATGGATAATCGTGATTTTTTTTTTTTTGGTAAAATACTTATCATTTACTAATTATTTAATTTTAAATTAAAAAAGAATGTTCCTAATTGTTGCAACTTGTACCCAACAATGTGCCGTTTGGAAAGACGATGTACTCATTTGCTGGTTGCGAAGAAGTTTGTGCTCTTAAAAAAATTGTAAATGGTAATACAATTATTTAGAAAAAATATATATTAAAGATAAATATATTTATTTTAGACCATCAGTTTTAAATTTAGAATTTTAAAAAAACAAAATAGTTTTCCTTTACACTTTTTGGTAATAATAATAATATATACTTGATTTCAATATTTTATAAGCGTTGTTTCCATTTTAAAAAACGTATATGTTGTTTTCGGTTTTCACAGTTTCCTCCGTACATACGTTGCTTAAGACAATGTCAGTTTTATTTTAAGAAATTTTTAAAAAGAAAACAGTTTTTCTTTATGTTCCCCTCCTTTAAAAAAATAATAATAATAAATATTCCTTTTTTTCAATTGTTCAAACCGACACGTCTTCTTCTTTCATGTTTACTCGGCAGATTTTTTTTTTTTTTTTTTTTTTTTGATCCCCTTCTTCTTTGAAAAAAAATTTAAAAAAATTCCTTTTTTTTTCCATTGTTTCGAAACAATATCAATTAAATCGACACGTCTTCTTCTTTCATGTCTACTCAGTTGTTGATTTCTGAAGAACCTTATATATAATCGGCGTATTGGATCTTGCCTCTCTCATTTTACCTTTCTCGCTTCTTCTACCCATCTCTTCTTTCAACATTTACTATCTAACTCTACTTCAAAAGTCAGTATTTGGTTGAAGCGCATAACTCAAGGCCTATTTTGGCTTAAGGTATGTTTCAATCTGTATTTTGTGTTATTTATATTTTTGTTTTTGAGGATACAATGTTTGAATTTTATTTTCCTATTATGTTTCTTAATTATGTGAAGTTTGTTAACCATAATGTAGAATTATTCATGATGTTCTCATTCTTTTGGTACATATACATCAGATTACAACTCAAAACCCTTAAAAAAAAAAATTTAAATTTGAATTAAAGAACAATTTATATATTTTATCTTTCTATCTAAATAATCACTTGCTGACAGTTGCTCAACCCTACTAATTTTTTATTTTTTATTTATTTTTCCTGTGACTAAATGAATTTTAAAACGTTATGTTTTGTATTCCTTGAATTCTTCAATTGTTTCTGTTGGGCACATTTTTGACACTAGAAAGGTGTGCATTCATGGTTAGTGGTTAGCTTTGTGAAATTTGTTGCACTAATAGTACTGTCATGATGCTGTCACTAACGTTTGTCGTACATTGAAGTGCATTTTATATGTGATGCGTAAGTTACCCAACAAAGTGGTTCCTGGGCTGGAAATTCATTTTTAGAGGAATAATATTTCATGCAAAGTTAATGTTCAATGGATTTTGAGAGCAAATTACAAATCTTATAGTTTGCATCTTGTCTAAACTACATTTTGATTCATCCTTTTCCCATTGATTCACTCACCACCATCCTGGCCACCACATAACCATTGTGCTGCCACCAATATTCTTTTGTTGCAATTGCCGCCACAAGCACCTTCCCCCATAGTCTTCACCTGTAACGGTTGTTGCTTCTAGTAACACAATGTTTTCACCAATGCCAATACTATCAACACTGCCATGTTACTAACACGTCTTCTTCTTTCATGTTTACTCGGCATTTTTTTTTTTTTTTTGATCCCCTTCTTCTTTGAAAAAAAATTTAAAAAATTCCTTTTTTTTTTCCATTGTTTCGAAACAATATCAATCAAACCGACACGTCTTCTTCTTTCATGTCTACTCCGTTGTTGGTTTCTGAAGAACCTTATATATAATCAGCGGATTGGATCTTGCCTCTCTCATTCTACCTTTCTCGCTTCTTCTACCCCTCTTGCTTCTTCTACCCATCTCTTCTTTCAACATTTACTATCTAACTCTACTTCAAAAGTCAGTATTTGGTTGAAGCGCATAGCTCAAGGCCTATTTTGGCTTAAGGTATGTTTCAATCTGTATTTTGTGTTATTTATATTTTTGTTTTTGAGGATACAATGTTTGAATTTTATTTTCCTATTATGTTTCTTAATTATGTGAAGTTTGTTGACCATAATTCAGAATTATTCATGATGTTCTCATTCTTTTGGTTCATGTACATCAGATTACAACTCAAAATCCTTTAAATTTTTTTTTTTTAAAGGTATGTTTAAATTTGAATTAAAGAACAATTTATATATTTTATCTTTCTATCTAAATAATCACTTGCCGACAGTTGCTCAACCCTACTAATTTTTTATTTTTTATTTATTTTTCCTGTGACTAAATGAATTTTAAAACGTTATGTTTTGTATTCCTTGAATTCTTCAACTGTTTCTGTTGGGCACATTTTTGACACTAGAAAGGTGTGCATTCATGGTTAGTGGTTAGCTTTGTGAAATTTGTTGCACTAATAGTACTGTCATGATGCTGTCACTGACGTTTGTCGTACATTGAAGTGCATTTTATATGTGATGCGTAAGTTACCCAAAAAAGTGGTTCCTGGGCTGGAAATTCATTTTTAGAGGAATAATATTTCATGCAAAGTTAATGTTCAATGGATTTTGAGAGCAAATTATAAATCTTATAGTTTGCATCTTATCTAAACTACATTTTGATTCATCCTTTTCACATTGATTCACTCACCACCATCCTGGCCACCACATAACCATTGTGCTGCCACCAATATTCTTTTGTTGCAATTGCCGCCACAATCACCTTCCCCCATAGTCTCCACCTGTAACAGTTGTTGCTTCCAGTAACACAATGTTTTCACCAATGCCAATACTATCAACACTGCCATGTTACTGACACGTCTTCTTCTTTCATGTTTACTCGGCATTTTTTTTTTTCATCCCCTTCTTCTTTGAAAAAAAAAATAAAAAAATTCCTTTTTTTTTTCCATTGTTTCGAAACAATATCAATCAAACCAACACGTCTTCTTCTTTCATGTCTTCTCGGTTGTTGGTTTCTGAAGAACCTTATATATAATCGACGGATTGGATCTTGCCTCTCTCATTCTACCTTTCTTGCTTCTTCTACCCCTCTTGCTTCTTTTACCCATCTCTTCTTTCAACATTTACTATCTAACTCTACTTCAAAAGTCAGTATTTGGTTGAAGTGCATAACTCAAGGCCTATTTTGGCTTAAGGTATGTTTCAATCTGTATTTTGTGTTATTTATATTTTTGATTTTGAGGATACAATGTTTGAATTTTATTTTCCTATTATGTTTCTTAATTATGTGAAGTTTGTTGACCATAATTCAGAATTATTCATGATGTTCTCATTCTTTTGGTTCCTGTACATTAGATTACAACTCAAAACCCTTAATTTTTTTTTTTTAAAGGTATGTTTAAATTTGAATTAAAGAACAATTTATATATTTTATCTTTCTATCTAAATAATCACTTGCCGACAGCTGCTCAACCCTATTAATTTTTTATTTTTTATTTATTTTTCCTGTGACTAAATGAATTTTAAAATGTTATGTTTTGTATTCCTTGAATTCTTCAACTGTTTCTATTCGGCACATTTTTGACCCTAGAAAGGTGTGCATTCATGGTTAGTGGTTAGCTTCGTGAAATTTGTTGCACTAATAGTACTGTCATGATGCTGTCACTGACGTTTGTCGTACATTGAAGTGCATTTTATATGTGATGCGTAAGTTACCCAACAAAGTGGTTCCTGGGCTGGAAATTCATTTTTAGAGGAATAATATTTCATGCAAAGTTAATGTTCAATGGATTTTGAGAGCAAATTACAAATCTTATAGTTTGCATCTTGTCTAAACTACATTTTGATTCATCCTTTTCACATTGATTCACTCACCACCATCCTGGCCACCACATAACCATTGTGCTGCCACCAATATTCTTTTGTTGCAATTGCCGCCACAATCACCTTCCCCCATAGTCTCCACCTGTAACAGTTGTTGCTTCCAGTAACACAATGTTTTCACCAATGCCAATACTATCAACACTGCCATGTTACCGACACTTCTTCTTCTTTCATGTTTACTCGGCATTTTTTTTTTTTTTTTTTTGATCCCCTTCTTCTTTGAAAAAAAAATTTAAAAAATTCCTTTTTTTTTTTCATTGTTTCGAAATAATATCAATCAAACCGACACGTCTTCTTCTTTCATGTCTACTCGGTTGTTGGTTTCTGAAGAACCTTATATATAATCGGCGAATTGGATCTTGCCTCTCTCATTCTACCTTTCTCGCTTCTTCTACCCCTCTTGCTTCTTCTACCCATCTCTTCTTTCAATATTTACTATCTAACTCTACTTCAAAAGTCAGTATTTGGCTGAAGCGCATAACTCAAGGCCTATTTTGGCTTAAGGTATGTTTCAATTTGTATTTTGTGTTATTTATATATTTGTTTTTGAGGATACAATGTTTGAATTTTATTTTCCTAATATGTTTCCTAATTATGTGAAGTTTGTTGACCATAATTCAGAATTATTCATGATTTTCTCATTCTTTTGGTTCATGTACATCAGATTATAACTCAAAACCCTTAAAAAAAAAATTTTAAAGGTATGTTTAAATTTGAATTAAAGAACAATTTATATATATTTTCTTTCTATCTAATCATATATATATATATATATATATATATATATATATATATATATATATATATTTATATTGTTTCATACATAATTATTACATAAGGAATTATTATATTTTATAAAAAAAAAACTCTTTCATGTTTTGTTCTTCTCTGCAAAAACTTTTTCTCCAACATTGTAAGTGCACTATACTTCTTAAATAATTTTAATATTTAGGTTCCAATTATTCTCTCCTCTAAAAACTTTTTATGTCTCTCAGTATTTCTTTTTATAGTTTTAATTGTGAGTTTCTAACAAATTAATGTTTGACACTATAGATGGCAATACATAATTAGTACATGAGGAGTTTTTATATTTTATATGTTAAAGTGTATTCAATTTTTATTTTTTATATACATTTCAAAATAAATTCTTTATTTTACAAAAAGTTTATACTGTCTTTTTTTTTTTTTTCTCCTTCTTTTTTCCCAAAGAGTCGTTTCCTTTTTTTAGTTTTTGCACACTGTTTTTGTTTTCTTTCTTTCTTCTTTTTTCCCAACGAGTTCTTGTTTTAAACAATTTTTAAATTTTAATTTAAATCAGTGTTAAACTCTATATTCTGGATTTTTTTTATTAAAAAATAAACATTAATTATATACCTTTTAGAAAAAAAATTAACTTTCTTCAACGTAATTTGTAAAAGACATCAACAGTTAAGACGCCTATTGTGAAGAGTTATGTTTCAAAAACTTTGTCGTGTTATATGATCTCAAGAAAAAAAAACTCTTTCATGTTGTGTTTTTCTCTGCAAAAACTTTTTCTCCAACATTGTAAGTGCACTATACTTCTTAAATAAATTTAATATTTAGGTTCCAATTATTCTCACCTCTAAAAACTTTTTATGTCTCTCAGTATTTCTTTTTATAATTTTAATTGTGAGTTTCTAACAAATTAATATTTGACACTGTAGATGGCATCTCAAAAAAATGGTAAGAAAGTACAGATGACACCAAAAGAAGTACCGTTCGAAAAAAGACCACTACTTTGGGACAATCCTATAGCATGTAGCTCTACTTCACCACCATTTTATATATGGGAAAGGATTTTGTCCGAGTTGAATCATAAAATTGATATTGGTTTCAAAATTCTTTTACAAGAAATACAAAGGTTGACTGAGTTAGTAGAAGCAATCGAGACATCGCACAATAGTGTCATCCACATAAGTTCTGACGATAGTGAAAAGGAGGATCCATCAGAGGAATATTCTCCATGTTCTTAAACAAAATGGATAGATCAAGACTTTTTTTAATGTAATCTATATTATGTTTTATTAAATGTAATGTAAAATAAATGTTCATTGATATTATTAATTGATTAATTGTGTTTGGTAGAGAATATATAATATATAAGAAGTTATTTTAACATAATGTTTTTTGAAGAGTGATCTCAAAGAGTTGCCATGACTGTATAAATAGTTGTTTCTAAATTGAAATACATGTTCGGTGAGAATTCAAAGAGTTGTCATGACTGTTATGAAAAGATATCATCATTATTAACGTATATTTTTAATATTATATTTTTTCTGTATAAATAGTTGTTCCTAAATTGAAATAAATGTTCGGTGAGAATTTATTTTTGTTCTCTTTCACGATAAACTATCTTCTTAACATAATAAAATGTGTGTATGAATCCATCTCTATCTCTTATCATCTTTGTGAAGAAAAAAAATTCTCTTTGGAAAGACTTGTATGCAAATTGAAATACATGGTTAGAACTCTGATAATTACTTCATTTTTTACAATTACTTCCATTATTGAATCATAAAAATTTGTAGTGATCTTATCAATTTGATTAAATCACAAAATTATATGCTTCCAATCAAAGATACTTGCAAACAAAGATAAAGGACATAATGCAAATTATTTCCAAATAAGTGTCGAAACAATTAACCTTTTTTTTTATAATAGAAAAATGAAGAGTTTTAAAAGAAATAAAGTGTTCATTTACCGGGATATTGTATACATATTGTTGGAAAAATATATGCTTAATGTGACTTTTAAGATATAACAACCCTTATACTAATATGTCATAAGATAATTAACAATATGCTAATAAATCATTAATTAAATATGCAACTCTATATTTAATTAAATATGCAAAATAAAGCAATAAAATAATAATAATATGCAAGGAATGAACCTGGACCGAGGCTAGTATTGGATACTATGTCCTTAAGACAAATTCGCCCCGCTATGGTGCTAACGGACTCAGTGGCGTCTATCTCCCAGGATACAACGGTCTACATCCACCAGTAGCAGCACTACAAACTCGTGGATACGGCGAACCTCCTCCATGTAATACTCTCTCTGACTCAAAAATGCATCTATATACTATATAAATGCTGAATTGGGTGTAATCCGAACCAAATGGTTCGGACCAATCTTAATATGGCTCGATGAAATTGGATTAGGGTCGAAGTGGCTCGAACCACTTAACCTATGGTTTGAACCCTCTTGGGTTGGGTTCCAGTCTAGAGAGGGAGATAGAAGAAAATGAAAATGAATGACTTGCAAATGATCCAAAGGGGGGTATTTATAGAAATAGAAATGCCTTTTCGGATGGGGTGCGTCTTTTCATCATTGGACACAACCATTGCAATAGGTTGCAATGGTTCACATTGTGTCTATTCACCATTAGACACATCCATTCCAATAGGTTGCAATGGTTCACATGGTGTCTGTTCACCAATAGACACATCTATTCCAATAGGTTGCAATGGTTCACATGGTGTCTGTTCACCAATAGACACATCCATTCCAATAGGTTACAATGTGCCTTTTCGAGTGGGTGCAACTATGGGTTATGATGGTTCGGAAAAAGGTGTAACCCTTTGGAAAAAACTAAAAGTGGTTTTTTAATTTAAAAGGTGTAACCCTTTAGAAAAAACTAAAATATGGTTTTTTAATTTAAAAGGTGTAACCTTTTAGAAAAACTAAAAAGTAGTTTTTTTAATTCAAAAAACCAACCACCCAAAAACCCTACTCATTTGTGAAACCCATTTAAATAAGCCCAGCCCAAAATTAGGCCCAATCCAAAATTCCAAAAAAAAAAGAATAATCTGGACTTTACAATTAGGCCCAAGCCCAAGCCCAAATCCTAAACTCAGCTTATTTAAATTTCAATTTGTTTCAACATTTTTTCCATGTGGGACAAACACTTCCCACATTTTGCATACCCATTTAGGCTTAT